AGTAGGATAGTCTTCCTGGATCAGTATTCTTGTGGATCCGTAGGTGACTGTGGAGCCCTATTCTTGACCTGCATTTTCTCCCACAGTGAGGGCATTGGTTTCCAGGTGGAAGGTGGTCTCGTTTGAGGTTGGCTTGATGCATCTTCCTCTTGGCACGTTTCTCTCTTTCGCCCTCCATTCGTGCCTCTTCAAATTCTGCAGCACTGCTGGTCACAGCTGACCTCCAGCTGGAGCGCTCAAGGGCCAGGGCTTCCCAGTTCTCAGTGTCTATGCCAGAGTTTTTAAGGTTGGCTTTGAGCCCATCTTTAAATCTCTTTTCCTGTCCACCAACATTCCGTTTTCCGTTCTTGAGTTCGGAGTAGAGCAACTGCTTTGGGAGACGGTGGTCAGGCATCCGGACAACGTGGCCGGTCCAGCGGAGTTGATGGTGGAGGACCATCGCTTCAATGCTGGTGGTCTTTGCTTCTTCCAGCACGCATTTGTCCGCCTGTCTCCCCAAGAGATTTGCAGGATTTTCCGGAGGCAGCACTGATGGAATCGTTCCAGGAGTTGCATGTGACGTCTATAGACAGTCCACATCTCACAGGCGTAAAGCAGGGTTGGGAGGACAATAGCTTTATAAACAAGCATCTTGGTATCCCTACGGATGTCCTGGTCTTCAAACACTCTCTGTTTCATTCGGAAAAATGCTGCACTCGCAGAGCTCAGGCGGTGTTGTATTTCGGTGTCGATGTTGACTTTGGTGGAGAGGTGGCTGCCAAGGTAGCGGAAATGGTCAAAATTTTCTAATGTTACACCATTAAGCTGTATCTCTGGCATTGGAGAGGGGTTGGCTGGTGTCTGCTGGAACAGCACTTTGGTTTTCTCGATGTTCAATGACAGGCCGGGCTTCTCGTATGCTTCTGCAAAGGTGTTTAAATTATCTTGTGTGTTGTTGTTCATTCGTTCAGTCGTCTCCGACTCTTCGTGACCTCATGGACCAGCCCACGCCAGAGCTCCCTGTCAGCCGTCACCACCCCCAGCTCCTTCAAGGTCAGTCCAGTCACTTCAAGGATGCCATCCATCCATCTTGCCCTTGGTCGGCCCCTCTTCCTTTTGCCTTCCACTTTCCCCAGCATAATTGTCTTCTCTAGGCTTTGCTGTCTCCTCATGATGTGGCCAAAGTACTTCAACTTTGTCTCTAGTATCCTTTCCTCCAATGAGCAGTCGGGCTTTATTTCCTGGAGGATGGACTGGTTGGATCTTCTCACAGTCCAAGGCACTCTCAGAACTTTCCTCCAACACCACAGCTCAAAAGCATCTATCTTCCTTCGCTCAGCCTTCCCTAAGGTCCAGCTCTCACATGCGTAGGTGACTACGGGGAATACCATTGCTTTAACTATGTGGATCTTTGTTGCCAGTGTGATGTCTCTACTCTTCACTATTTTATCGAGATTGGACATTGCTCTCCTCCCAAGAAGTAAGCGTCTCCTGATTTCCTGGCTGCAGTCTGCGTCTGCAGTAATCTTTGCACCTAGAAATACAAAGTCTGTCACGGCCTCCACGTGGCTTGTAGGTCTTCTGAATGCACACAGACAACGTCATCAGCATACTGGAGTTCTATAACATGTTGTTGTTTCCTTGGTTTTGGCTTTCAGTCTGCTGAGGTTAAACAGCTCGCCATCTGTCCGATAGATGTCATATAATTAAATGTGTATTGTATACAGCTGTGTGGAAGGATCCATAGTGCTTGGGGCTGTGCCTGTGGGACTCCTTACCACATGTTGCCAGCTTGACTTGTGCATGTTATAATTTCCAGGGCGGTTTTTTGGAGCTCTGCCTCAGCTGGCGAAAAGTCTTGAAAAAAGTTGGACCAGACATCAAGGGCCGCCTTTTCGGTAACTTAACTCTCCCCGCAGCTTGTTGCTATGAGAAAGAAAAGTTTGTTTTTTCCTTAGAGGGTGGAATCTTTGTCTGACTGAGGCGATGAGTGACGCTCTTTCCAACCAATCAGGTCCCGCGTTGCACCTCCCAGCCGCTTCAAGCCCTTATATAACCCCGCAGGGCAGGCGAGCCTTGTGACTGCGCGCGCGGCCGCGGAGCCCCAAAGCGCGAGCTTGTGAAATCACGTGCCGCGGGGGGAGGAGGGAAAGGGCGAGGAGTAAGGAAAGGGGCGGGGCGTGCCGGAGGGGCGGGTTCCGGCACGGTGATAGGCTGGAGGCTTGGCTGGGCTGGCGTCGGATTGGGCGAGTCCCGGAGGGGGCGTGGCCTAGGCGTTGGCAAGCCTTGGCAGGGGCTGTGAGGGGAGAGAAGCGATGGAGGCCGTTAGGGAGGCTTGAGGCGAAGATGGCGCGGAGTGGCCGGGCGGTGGGGAAGGTGCTGGTGGAGCGCTTGGCGGTGTCCCCGCGAAGGGCGGCCCTCAGGTGAGGGAAAAGGGTCCCTTTGCTTTCCCCCTTCCCAGTTACTGTCTTTCCCTCTCTCCTCTTCCATGGGAGAAGTTCAAGAGGCGCGGGGCCAGTTTCAGGGTTACTTAAGGGATGTGGCCTTCCCATCTTCTAGTCAGTTGTGGATTTTAACTCCCAGAATTCCTGAACATTGACCGAGGAGTCAGCTGAGGATTCTGGGAGTTGGAGTCCAAAACACCTGGAAGGCTACAGAGTTTGAGGATCAGGGTATACTGTGTAAATGAGGCAGTTGAATGCCATGTCTCTGCCTCTTCTACACAGCTGAATAAAATACCACATGATCTGCTTTGAACTGGCAGTGTGGACTCATAACCCAGTTCAAAGCAGATATTGTGGGATTTTCTGCCTTGATAACTTGGGTTATATGTGTGTGTGGAAGGGCCCTCAATACTATGGAAAAATTGGGATTTGTAGTTTGGTGAGGCACACACACTCTTTGGCAGAGAAGGCAAGACAACCTATAAAATTAGCATTTCAAAGGAAGGTGAAGACCTGGTTGTTCGAGCAGGCATTTGAATAGGCAGTGTAACAAATATAGGAATTATGGAACAATGTATTGTCGAAGGCTTTCATGGCTAGAATCACTAAGTTCTTGTGGGTCTTTTCGGGCTATATGGCCATGTTCTAGAGGCATTTCTCCTGACGTTTCGCCTGCATCTATGGCAAGCATCCTCAGAGGTGAGGTCAGAGGATGCTTGCTATAGATGCAGGCGAAACGTCAGGAGAAATGCCTCTAGAACATGGCCATATAGCCCGAAAAGACCCACAAGAACTTAATTATGGAACAATTGGATGATGAGACTGGATCTTGATTTTAACTATGAGACGATATGATGTTTAATTTATTGTTATAATGCTTTCAATTGTTTTTAACTGTTTTATGATGTTTTAAGCATTGAATTTTGCTATTGTGAACTGCTCTGAGTCGCCTGAGGGCTGAGAAGAGTGGTATACAAATATAGTAAGTAAATAAATAAAATAAATAAACTCCCATTATTCCACAGCACTGAGAGATGACAGTTTAAAGGATGCCAAACCGCGTTAATTCCACAATGTGGATGCACCCTCCAATGAGGTTAAATTAAGGGCCCTTTTACACAGCCCTATAACCCAGAATATCAAGGCACAGAAAATCCCACAATATCTGCTTCGAACCGAGTTATCTGAGTCCACACTGCCATATATCCCAGTTCAAAACAGATAGTGTGGGATTTTATTCCGCTGTGTGGAAGGGGCCCAAGGCATTAAGTTCAGCTCGATCAGGACCCAGAATGGATCTGGATTCATGGGTTGTTGTATGTTTTTTGGGGTTTTTGGCCATATTCTAGGATCTCCTTTGGTAGAGAAGGTGAAATAACCTTGTAAAACTACCTCTCTCTGGATCCTATAGCATTGAGCCGTGGCAGTTAAAGTGGTGTCAAACTGTATTCATTCTACACTGTGGATCCACCCTGATGTGTACAAGGTGAAATAGTAAAGAGTTTTCTCTGTCTTCCCTGCCTCCCTCAACTGCTTAGTAAAATAATATATGGGGGGGGGGGGGGGGACCAGAAATCCTTTGCTGGCTTTAACCTAATGATTGTAGCCTTTCTTTTGTGTATAATAAATGTAAGCTGGGACAGAGACAAAAACATTGCTGGAAAGGACCAAAAAACGTCAAATATAAATCTTAAGTTAAGAATATTTTTAGAAGTGTAATGTGCATTTTTATTGGAATGGTTCATACTAGACAAGAAAACGGAGAATGTTTTACTTCGCCCTGACAGATTAATCCATCTGGTGTTCATTAACATCTGCAGACCCCTACGTGCCATTTTTACTATAAAAATCCTTTCCAATTGCCTCATCTTGTTTATGTGGCATGGTTTCCACAGTTTTATTGAGTACGGAAAAACAGTGCATGAAAATATAATCTAGTCTTGTGTCCTTGATTTTTTTTCAAAAAATCTGATCTTTGTTCTGCTAGTCCATTGATACGTGCAACCAGTAACAGCATCCCAGTTGCGTGAAGGAATAGTACTATGTCTGGCGTTGTACTGTTGATATTCACAGCATGTTTTTGATTCAGTGATGAAAGAACGGCATATCATATGAAAACATGCTTTGAAGGGTGGAGGAGGAACTCGGACGATGTCTTCCAAACTTAAACTAGATATTGAGACAGTTTTGTTGCTGTTGTCTCCGTTCCACATTGAAGAGTAATGTGGAGAGAATGAGAAAGAAGGGAGGTGATGCAGTGGGGCATCTTAGGGTGCATCTACACTGTGGAACTAATGCAGTTTGCCACCACTTTAACTGCCATGGCTCAATGCTGTGGAATAATGGGAATTGTCGTTTTATGGCCTTCCCTGACAAAGTGCTGGTTCCTCTCCAAACTGCAACTCCCAGGATTCCATAGCATTGAGCCAGGGTAGTTAAAGTGGTGGCAGGCTGCATCCATTCAACAGTGTGGATGCACCCCAGTAGCGAGGTTTGTGGTCCCCTTTTCCCTACAGGTTGACTGTAAATGACACGACTAGCTGTCTGTTCCAATAGTTGTTGAGCCTGTTATTCTACCTTCTTGCCACCTCTAGTTGATTTTGCTGTGTTAAACTTTACTTTGTTCTCTGAATAACATTCACAGGTGCAAGCTATGCCCTCTAGCAGAGAAAATGCTTGTATGGTATTTTGCATTTAAATCACTAATTATATGCGATTTGTTATGCCATTTTGACTCTGGCTTTTCTTGTACACCAAGGAATGGTGAATTTCTTCGACTAGTTGAAGAATGAAAATGTGTGCAGAATATAAAATCTTAACCACACTCCCGTCTCCCTAAACTTGTTCACCTATCATATTTGCTTTCGGGCATCAAGACTAAAACATAATGGCTATACCTAATCTCTCACTTCTAAATGTCACACATAGGGAGGTATTATTAGAACAAAGAAGCGGCTCAGATTGAGTTGAGAGATCATGGCTTAATTGAGGGAGAGCTTGCCTTCACAAAATTTCAGCATGATACAATATGATGAGACTCACCATAAGTGTAGTGAAGAGATCGTTTATATCAGGATCCTATGTTCTTCAAATGGTGTCTTGTGCTTCCCTTTTAGATTTTTTTTAATGCCATTGGTTGGATTCAATACTGCTGCCTTAAGAATAATTTCTAGTTTTTGAATTATTTTAAAATACTACAATATTGATGATATATCATGAGATCAGAGAACAGTGACCTTTTGGGATGTGAATCTTGTTTTTCATCCAGGAGGAAAGCACTCTTGCAAGTTCTGTCTACCAGTATTTTTAAATCTATTTAAACATTTCCTTCTTCTGCTTCAAGGAAACATATAAGCATGTAGTCTAGGGAAGAGGAAAGGATGAATGTCTTCCCCTTTCTGTCCTGCCCATGCACTTGCAGACTAAACCTGTACACTTGCTTAAGCTAAGCATGAGTCTTCCTGGTGAAATGGGACTCCTGAACAATATATATCAGATTGTATTGCTGATCAGGTTACGTAAGTCTGTAACTTAAAGAATAAAAAAAGGGATGGGTAGATGAGAATAAATATATACAATCAACGCAACTGCCTTTGACTGTGCACCAATCTAACATAAAATGTTGCTTAAGGATGTATTGTGTGCATGAAGTCACACTGGAAAGAAAAGTAGCGGGACTTAATTCTGTATTATGCATTTATAATACAGTGATAACAGTCTTTGGGTGAGATGGGATGAGAAGGGAAATTCAGTTTTCTGTGTTCCCTGAAGACTGCAGATTAATTAACAATGACTACAACACATAATTTATTTATTTACATTTACAACATTTCTACCTTGCCCTTCTCAACCCCCAATTGGGGACTCAGAGTGGTTAATTTAAATAATATGTTTAGTTAAACAATCCAGAGTTATTGTTTGTTTCCATTGTGGCATGCTTGTTATCTGAAGAAGGAAGCTGCTGGCTAAGTTAAATGGTGGCTTGCCTTTTCAGTAGTTGGGAGCGCTGGAGCAAAAGGATCCTAGATGACAGGCACTACATGTGGTTCCAGCCTTTGGCACTGAGGCTTCCTTTAGAATATTTACAGCTGTTTTCCAGAAACCGTCAAGAGACAAACTTAACGTCACATAATCATCATCTGATGACATTGATTTTCCAGAAGTGACACTTGAGATAGCATGAAGGTTAGGGCAATTGGTTTGTGCTAATTAGAGCTTTCTCTTTCCTGTATTAGATCATCTTATCCTGTGTTAAATGTCACTTGGTTTATATGGTTCATTTTCTTGCAATTAATAAGTTTGTCAGCATACCTGTCTGACACCATGTAAAAATATATTCTCATGAAGTATTAAATTAATAGGAAGAGTTTGCGTCAATATACTTCTGGCAATTGTGAGATTCTCTGGATTTCTAAAATTACCTAGCTACTATACATTTTCCCTATAGTGTGCCCCAACTGCTACATAGTTTTCATCCTATGACACAGAATAGAGAAAGTTTCTTTTTTAAAAAATGAAATGATGGTTCAAGTTCTGATACTCAAAACAGAAAAATATAAAGTCTGCACATAGAGACATTAATAATTTGAGCTAGATAGGTTTTGGAGATTGTGACAGGTACTTTTGATCAAGAAGATTTATCTCCTCGAATGCTGTGTAAAAAAAAACAACCGATGTCTGCTGATCAGTGAAGGTCAAGTCCATTTTTAACTTCTCATCCTTATAATCGCTTGACTCTAACATTACAGTTCTCTTTGACTTAGAGTTTTGTAGGTGAAAATACATGACTGGGGTTCTGTTTGTGCATGTTTTTTTTTTAATGAGTGCTTCACAACTTTTTCAATATTTATGGAAGATGGACAGGTTGCTTACCTGGAACTGTATTTCTTCAAGTGGTCATAGAGACCATGAAGAATTCTAATTTTTAAGTCAATAGCATTGCTTTCAATGGAAAACTGAACAAATAATTTGACATTTGTCCGAGAGTGACATCTAATGCTAACAAACAAATTACCAGTGCTCGAGGTTGTTGTTGTGGTAGTGTGATTTCATGTAATTTCTGACTTGTAGCAACCCTGAGTTAAGCCTGTCAAGGCAAGATTTGTTCAGAAGAAGCTGCCCTTGCTTTCTTTTGAAGCTGAGAGTGTGTGACCAAAGGTAACCAAAAGTGGTTTCTCAGGGGCTGAGTCTTCATCCAGTGCTCAAGTGACTATACCACACTAACTCACTGGGATTATTAGCAACATCAAAATGAAGATGACTAGCTCTCCTCTGGCTATACATGTTTTACAGCTTCGTTTGTGTGTGAAGAAGATAACTACTCTTTGGATTGTGTGTGTCACTAGAAGATAGTGGCAGCAAACTTTTTTGTGTGGCAGTAAGTTAACCAGGAGGCCCCTGGTTTAAAATCTGAATGTGTTTACCTGCTGTTTCACAGTCTTGCAGTTTCAAGATTTTATGGCCCACACTTATATCCTAATATTTGGTGTTTGTTTTGGCTTCATGTGGCCAAAATATTGGGGAATTTAGAGATTAGTGTAATTGGTTCTGATTCTCTCTTCCTCTCAAAAGTTTGCAAATATAAATGCATGCTTCCATTAAACAATGGATGCAGCAACTTACCAGATATAGTTTCTGAGTGGAGACCCCATGTTTTTGGAAAGAATATGAACTTAATTTGCTAAGTGCTGCAAAAATGTCATATAAGCTAGCCATCACTTTTACAGCCTGCTTTGGAGATTTCCAAGAGTATCTGGCTAAGGTGAAGAATTCCTGCGTATCAATGTGAGTGTAGTGGATAGAGTACGAAGTATTAGATAGCGACTTGAGGGTTATACTTTCTAGTGTTCTTTGAGCCATAATGTTCACTAGATAACCATGGATAAAACTCCCTTTCTCTGCACCTATCCTACTTCACTGGATTGTTGGGAGAGGAGAGAATACATGTCTTGGGTTAATTGAGTGAAAGTCAGGACTTTTATGTAACATGGATAAATAATGCCTAATATTTACTGTACAGGAAGGACTTCAAATCTATACGAAGGCCATCCTTGATATAGATATGGTACTCTCTAAAGTATTGCCAGAGGTAACATAGATGTGTCTGCCATCCTGTGATCAAGGTGGAATGTTGTGCTAAGGTAGAAAATCAAAGTATTGTCATTGCTCCTACCTGGTTGTTATCACAGCAGAGGTTGTAATAGTAAACTGCAAAAGAAGGCCCCTTCAGTAGTGTGTGTGTGTATCCCCTTACAATACTTTATGAATTAGTTTGTTACAAATGTACATCATTGTGTTATTCAGCTATATAGCTTTTACAATCAAAACAACTTTTCTGATTTTAAGAAGAAAAGGGATCAAAGTAGTAAGAATGCTTGCTGCTGAGCAGGAAGTTCGTCTTTCAAATATATGAGCAGAGTGCAGTATGTGGCCTCAGACTGACTTGGAGCCAAGTCTTAAGGAGGAAGGCTTTTGTATTGTACTGTTGCCAGGTTCTTTCTCATGACTGAGATATATTTAGCTTGTCAGAGGCATAAAAACGTATCCTAATCCAGAACAGCTTGTATGCCATGATTGTCCCTGTGTTAAAGCTTTGATATCATTTGCATTGATTATATAATATACTGCTGACTAATTACTTACTCTATTAAAATGTTTATCTCTTGCAGGCATTTGACTTCTTGGGAAATTTTGTTGAGCAAAGCCCCTCTTCTACAAGTGCCAGGAAGATACTGCATCTTTTCAAAAAGAAATTTCTTCAATATTACTGCACCACTAGGGAACAAAAGGAAAGAATATTCAGAAAGAAGAATTATAGGGTTTGTATCAATAATAAAACACTTTACAATTTAATAAAGTCTGTGTTTCTGGCTTGCAGAATGAAACCTTAATCAGTATCTCAGTTTCCTTTGGTTTTGTTGTGTCTGTGATTTTGAGTAAACAATCCAAGCCTTCCTTTTGGCAAATTGCTTGAGTTTCCCTCCTGATCCAGGATTCTTTTTTTTTTTTTGTTTTTGTTTTTTTTTGTTGTTTTTTGTTTCAGAAACACAGTGGAATTTGTTTCTTAGGGTATGCATACAGATTATGGAGAACCATGAAAGTTCCAGCACTTTGATACAGACACAGATTTCTTAATTGGAGCCAGCCTTTGTGTCTTCATATATAAATATCTTCTGCTTCTTTGTCTCAGAACATTGTATTCAGTCCAATTTGATATCTGCATACCTATCAGTGATTCATGCTGTCTATCTTGAGACTGAGTTACAACTGAGGACTATTCAGAACTTTTACTTGTAGCCTATATGTTGTTTTTACTCTGTATGTTTTGTGATATTACTTGGGGACTGCTCTGAGTCCCCTCGGGAGATGGAGCGGTATATAAACAAAGTTTTATTATTTTTATTATTATTCACAATATATTTTACTATTTTTGTTTTTGTGTACAAATTCAGGCTGCTAAGGCTTTTCTCTGTAATTTATTGATGGAAAACCTAAAGTAAGTTAAAATATGTGGTGGGTTTATTCATTTCCAAAATCCTCTTACTGTGCCCAGCCCTTGTTGTATTCATCAGTCAACAATCTCCAGTAATAGGTCACCAACATTCTAGGTACTAAGAATGCTGAGAGGAGCTCCGTCAAGGCTATCCAAATAATTTATGGCAGTTTGGAGAGTTTAAATTCGCCCTCTCTCAAAATCTAGCAATGATTCTTTTACATCTGTTGATGAGATATTTTAAGAATGATATCACTATCTGAAGGTCTGACAGGATTATGCCTTGTTGAGTCTGTGAATAAGTGACAAATTCCACATACAGGTTTATAAAAGGTGTTATGTTTACAGGTCTAAAGAAATCTTGCAAAAAAAAACAAAACCCCTGGATAGGTACCTTAGGGTTGCCATAAATCAGAAAGTTTACAAATGTAGGATCTGAAAGGGTAGTCACTATGATTTTGTTTTCTCTCTGCAGAATAAAATACTTTTTGTTAATTCTTCTCTCCCTCTGTGTTCTCATCCCATAATCTTTTCCAGGAGGTTAGGATTGAACTTCTATAGCCATTTTGGAGGGGAAGGGGGAAGTACACAAGAAAAAGGGAAAAGTCTGATCACATGAGCTTTTATTCACTTGGGTGAAACTGGCTTCTGCTTGATGTGTGTAACGAGATCAAGGCTGTCCAGGAAGTAGTTGCATTATGGCACAGAGAATTGAACCTGGGTCCACCCAGTCTTAATTTGGTACTCTGACAAGTCCATTACACCAGTTCCTATTGCTAGCCTTTTGAAAGATTATGAATTTTTAGAGCTTATGTTAGCAACATTCTTCCTTTGTGTCTAAAAAGTAGGAACATTCTTTTTCTAAAGCCAGCTACCCTTTCTTTATCAGGTATTCTATGCAAGAAATGTATGAAGTGGTAGCGGTTGTGAGTGAATACAAGAACTTTGTCCCTTGGTGCAAAAAATCAGATGTGTTATCCAAGCGTTCAGGATACTGCAAAGCACATTTAGAAGTGGGATTTCCTCCTGTGGTGGAGAGGTACACTTCAGTTGTCACACTAGTGAGACCTCACTTGGTTAAGGTAATACTTTTCTTACCCTTTTTGTGTCATATACAAGTTGACTGCTCTTTTGTTATATGTAAACATATGTTATATCTAATGAGTCTAAGAACTTAAGGAATTGCCACTCTGATTTTACTCTCTGTATAGAATTATGAAGTAATTTTTAGCAGCATTTTGTTTTGCATGAACTGACAAGAAACTAGACAATAATATGCCAATAATATGCAAAAATGCATGTCACTTTTTGGCTACAATAATATAACGAATATATATATATATAATAATATATACATGAACAGCGGTCACCCATTACTATTATGGATGCAGAATGTAAGGTTCTTTTCCTTATTGCTGTACTCAGTGGAGTCCATCCAGAGAGCAAACTGAATCTGTGGAGTTCTTCTCTATCAGCTTTACGCCAGAGAAGAGCAAGCTTCTCTTGCTTGCCCAAGCCATACACTCCCAATCCATTACCCCATGTGGTACTGGTATTTTCAGCTAAAGAGCACATGAAGCTTGCTATTAATCAGCAATTTGAGCCTAAAGATTATTTGAAAATATCTTTTGTTGGATGTGATGGAAATGACTGACAAATGATGCAACTTTTCTAATAACTACATAGCTGTTGTGACAAAAATGGGACAATTCAGAGGATTTGTTTCAAAAATCATCTTTCCCCCTAGGCATCATGCACAGATGGCAAATTATTTAATCATCTAGAAACAGTGTGGCGTTTCAGTCCAGGAATCCCTGGTTATCCAAGAACATGCACCTTGGATTTTTCAGTAAGTATGAAAGGCCTTCTAAGGTTTTCAGAACAGTGAAATATACTTTTGAAGAGAGGACAAGATGCAATGTCACTCCCAATATTTTTGTTTGTTTGAAATCTATTTTTAAGTGTCAATTTTTTCAGCACCACATAATTGTCTGAAGCCTGAAAACTAATTCTGTAGGGACTCTTAAGCTTCCAGTACTATTTTCCTCCTATTTTGTTGGTGAAAGAAAATAAATCAGCACAACTAGTTCTTTGAATTCTTACCTTAATGTACAAATGTGTAATTTTCTTCATGTTGGAGGAAGTGATAAACATCATTATTTGGCGCAAATCTGTTTTGTTTGTTGTAAAGTTTTTAAAAGTGCTGACAATGGTTAAGGTCTATAAATTTCACCAGATCCCACCTGATCTTGGGAGGCATGCAAGATCAGCTCTTATTACTAATAGTAGTTAGAAGGGAATCAGCCATCAAATGCTGGGAGCTGTAGGCTGTATTTCAGAGGCAAAACTACCTTTGAGTATTCTAAGAAAACAGTGAAATTCATGGATAGCTGTAATTTGATACACAATTTAAAATATTTATGCTCATATGCACTACATTGCCTGCTACCAAATGTGCTGCATTAGAAAGCACACTTACCTTTTAAGCTAGCTTTTTTAAAGACTTGAACTCCTCTCCCATTTATTTGTCAAAGTCCCCTTGGTGTTCAAATGGCATGTCATGTGAGAGGAAGGGAACACTGCTGCTGGAGAAAATAACCTTGTTAACCTCATCTATCCAAAGAAGAAATACAAGGGGAGTCTGCAGTTTCATTGCGAGCTGTCTAAAGCTCTCAAGCAAATGAACTACCCTCCCCCCTACTTACCTGTCTTTACAGCTGATTCAGAGAGTAAGCTTTGAGTGGCGGAAGATCCTAATGGCATCTCAATTATGTAATCTCAGCACAGTAATTTTTCCTAGTAATGTAGACAGCCTTCCATGTCTTGAAGAAGCAGTCATTCTCCCCTTTGGCTTTTTGCTGTTACCACTCAAACTGAAATCAATTGTTTCACAGTATATTTGCTGTTTTGTGTACATTAATTCAATCTTTTTAATACTTGGTTGTTATACTGAAAATACGGAAAAATCAGTGGGAGGGATTTTTTTTTTTTTTGGCAGTATTTTAATGCTTGGGACACATTAATTTTTTGTAGTTAAATTTGGCTCACCTCAAAGAACTTAGACCTTTGTACATCTTGCCCTTGAGAGCCAAGTATTTAAAATTTACGATAGTGGTTGTAAGCTTTCACTGCTTCATTTCCTGTTCCAAAGGAAGAGGCACTAGGGTAGCCTGTCTTTTTTTACTGAAATAGTCTGCTTTGTGTATACACCATTGTCCCATTGTTACCCATCTTGCCAGTTTTGTTACTTAACAAGTATAAGTAGGCTTAGAAAACCCAAAACTGATAAAAGTTTAAAACATTAGATTTTTTTAAAAGGGAAACTTGCCCATTTGGATTTCTGTAATTTGGAAGTAGATTCATATTTTAAGTGGGCTGTGGGCACTGCTTGAAGCATATTCTGAAATAAATTGTTTTCATTCACAGATCTCGTTTGAGTTTCGTTCCCTTCTGCATTCTCATCTTGCTACTCTGTTCTTTGATGAAGTAGTTAAGCAAATGGTTTCTGCATTTGAGAGAAGAGCGTCCAAGTTATATGGTCCAGAAACCAGCATACCTCGAGAACTAATGCTTCATGAAGTGCATCATACATAAAACTACTTGGATACCACACATAGACATGGGATGCTTCTCTTATGTGGGCTTCCAATTATTTGGGGACATTTTTTGGCAATTATGTATAATACTACTGTACAAACCATGTAAGATGCAGGTGTACATAATGATAGAAGCTTCCATCAAGTGCAATTCCAAGGTGCTGATAACTTGAGTTACCAGATTTGCCTTTGTCATCTTGCCAGCATATATGAAACTCTGAAGTGTGGCAGTTTCATTGCCTTGTTTTGCAGTGTGTAATAATTAGTGGAATCAAATTTAAGTTATTCTTTTAAGTGCATATTTTAAGTTATTTGTTTTTGCTATTAAAGCTTTAAACCTGCGGAGGACAAGTGTAATCAAAGCTTGTTTCTCAAGTGTATAAAATATGATAGTAACTTTACTGTGTAAGATGAGCAAATCCTAGGCAAGGAGCTCAATCAACAAATAATTTCATAGAATGCAACAATGTTGTGTTATAATAGATGGTTGAATCTCCTGAAGTCTTAAGCCTGTAATGACCCAGTAACCTAAATGTTGAGGTCTCTAAAATGTTAACTTAGAGGATGTTTGGATTTATCTGTTTTCATATATTGCTTACCCAAACTGAAGCTTGTCTTGTACTCTTGACAGATTGTCCTTTTAAAGTGTTAAAGTCAAGACACTAACTTTGACGGCATACTCTTGCCATTTTCTCTAGAATTGCGAGGATGGCAGAGTACGTACTGACCCTCTGCATAGAGGTCTTTTAAAATGGTGTTTAGCAATATCAAGTCATAACCAGGTTTTAATACTGCTTGGGGGTCATTTGACCTATATGCAAAAGACATTTCAAGGTGTACATTTTCTGAGGAGTAAAACTCTTCGGAAAATGTTTTAAAGTCATTTCATAAGAAAATCTTATACCTGCCTTGTAATAGAAGGCAATGTAATTTCTCAGCCTTAAATCTATGCAACTGTGGCCAAGGCCGCTTCCCTCCCACAATGATCTATGTAAACAACTTCTGCATTTTTCCAGAAGTTGGCCCATGAAGGGAATTTCCCCAACCCTGCCTTAAATATCACTGAACTAATTCATATTTTTCTCTAAAGCCATACAGATACCTACAAAACAAGATCATGCTTTCTGAATAAGGTAATGCGTTTCATGAGTTTCAGCAATCTTTTATTACAGAAAGTTGTCACATAATTGTATATTTCTCTATTTTGTACACAATTTTTATCGAGCCTTGCACACAATGGCTTCTGCATTTCCTAGTGACAGCAGGCACCAATAAAATCTGATTTTAACAGAATGGCAAGTGCTTTCACTGGTTTAGGTTCGGAGCACAGCATTGGTACATGGATCTTGCACCCAGTATCAGGAATGTAGAAATGTCTTTATTAAGAGTACAAAATAAATTATCTGTAGGCATGAACATGTGCCAACCCAAATCCAGCAACAAATGTTACAGTGATTCTTTCAACACCGCCCCTTCTGCAGCCACTTATCCATCCCACTCTCACTGACCTGACGTTTACTTAACCTGTCAAGGCCCTCTTAGTTCATGATATGCTTCCATGTCATCCAGGATTAGAACATGCCGCCTCCCATCCCTCCCATGCCGCCTCCCATCCCTCCCATGGCAGGCTCCTTCTCCTCTTTGGGTATTTCGGTGACCACGGCTTCAGCTGTAGACAGAAGGGAAGCAACGCCTGCCGCATCCATCAGGGCTGTCCTTACAACCTAAAAGAGATAAGAACATTAAATGAAGTGCTATACCATAGTTGCCCACAAAATGCGACAACTACTTGACACCCAAGTACTTACCTTGGTTGGATCAATGATGCCTCGTTCTACCATGTTCACAAAGTCGCCAAGCATGGCATCATAGCCAACGTCATGCTCACTCTGCATGATTTTCTCTACTATTAGTGATCCTTCAACGCCTGCATTTTTAGCAATCGTCATTGCTGGAATTTTCAGTGTCCTTTTGATGATGTCTATGCCTGAAAAACATCAACATCAATATTTATCACCATTCTGATAAATATTTACATAATGCTTGCAAAAAGAACATCTAAGCACCAATCCAATGTCTTAAGGTTCAAGTGTTTAATGGAAATTGTGAACTGGCATTTTGAGTTTTCTTACCAATTTTCTGATCTTCATTGGCTGGAGTCAAAGCATCTAGTGCTGGAATACACCGAAGTAATGCACAGCCGCCACCGAGAACAATGCCTTCTTCCACAGCTGCACGAGTGGCGTTGAGGGCATCCGTGACTCGGTCTTTCTTTTCATTTACTTCAACATCACTTGTTCCTCCAACCTAAAAGAGGGGTGATTAGACAATGTTGACACTGACAAGCCAGTCTTTGTCCTGCCTAACATTAATCTCAATCCGTGAAGTACTAAATAAGTTAGTTTTGCCTACTAATTATGCCATGAAGAGTTTAGAATTATTTCACAACTGAATTACCAGTTTGTATCGATTGTGTAATAAGAATATACTAAGTTTCATGGCAAATTAAACGCTAATGTGTAAACCTGGCTCTTTTGCATCCCCTCAATGCCACTATGCATTGCACTGAACCTTAATCCTGCCAGCATTGCCTTTGCATAACAAACTACTATAAAAACTAAAATAGTATTCATTTTCATGTAATGTCCTTGTTATTTTTCAAGCTATGTTATCAACAGCTAAAGTTTGCTTTGGACAGTTCCAAGGAAGGGGAGATGTTATAATTACTACAACAGTGTTGTGTTACTGCAAATGTAGAACTAAACTAGCAGCTTAGAAATGTCAAAAACCTGCAGCCCTGCTACTTCCACACTATTCAGGATAAACAGTTTGCTTTATGTATGGCAGGATATGTGCTTTCTACCATAAGATATTTTTGGTCTGTGGCAAGGAACGTCCTATGTAAGGGTTAACACCCAGGCTGAGATCCCTAGAGACATCCAAGGCCTTCATTTGTTTTTTTCTGTTAGCCCAAGACAAGCCCACTCCTTCCTGTTAGATTTTATCTACTTCTCTCTACCAACAGCTTGTGAGTCCAGTGTATGTAGCTCAATAAATAAATTCCCCATGAGCTATTATTTGCAACTAATGATATCTGGTCAGAAAAAAACCATCCAATGATCATGGAATTAATGCTTCCTCTAAGTTTAGTAAAACCCAAAGAAAGAACTGAGCCAAAATATATGATTACTACACATTTAGAAAAAAGTGGGGAGTCTAGGGTTGTGAAGATGTTACACTCCAAATCTCATCCCATACAGCCATAATATATTCATGACTCTTCTCAAAATTGAAATCAAATAATAACTACAGAGATTGAGAAGTGTTCCATTCAAGATGACATTTGGACATCTTTGCCTTCCAAACTGAACTTGCTCTCTCCTTTCTGATGTGCTTTCTCTTTCCTGTTCAATCCCTTTGTTCTAAAACGAACACAATCCTTAAGCAAATGCTTACATATAAGGATAAACTGGGAATGTGAACACACACAAAGATTGGACTATGTTCAGCTGAATGCTGTTACAGGGCTCTACCAAGATATCATGGGTCATTCTAAATATTTTTAGAATTGCATATGCCTTTATTAACCAACAAATTTCCTATAAAATTGGGATGTCACTCAAATTGACAAGGGAGGAACACATTATTATTTCAAAATCCGAACTTAAGCAAAATATTAGGATTCTTGGTGTTAATTAACCAGCAATACCTAGCACTAATACTGGGTGTTTGGAATCAATGCTGTATCTTATATGATTTCTACTACTGAATAAAGTGTATTTGCATATTTAATAGCCAGGAACTAAATAACATTCTCCTTTTTAATGCTATTTTTAAAAATAAAGCTGGCACATATTTAATGTTTTAATCCAAGATTTACACCATGAAATGGTTACAATTGAACAACTGTTTCAAAAACATTGGGCCCATTTTATATCTCGATTTTGATCTCTAAAGCACACAGAGTTTGAGAATTCCTTCTAAGAGTTTACTATACAAAAAGAGTAACTTTCAGTCCAGATCATAATAAATCATGTTTTCCACAACAACACGAAAGAATCACAGCAAGGCAAAGTAGATAACATACAAAATTATAGCCAAACTTCAGATGCCATTAGAAACAGGATCCTTTCTTTCTCTCTCAATCTCTGATCTCAAGAAAAGATGCACAAGCAATCCTTAAACTCATAGGCTGAGAAGTCATACTATAGTTACCTTCAATACAGCTACTCCATCCGAAAGTTTAGCCAGGCGCTCATTCAGCTTTTCCTTCTCATATTCACTGGTTGTAACTTCTAGTTGTTCAATTATTTCTTGAACACGCTTTTCAATTTGAGATTTATCCCCTTTCCCTTTAAGTAGTAAGCAGTCGTCTTTCGTCACAATGACCTCTCCAACTTTGCCAAAGTCATGAGGCTGAACATCTTCCACATTTAAGGTCAAACCTTCTTCCCCAAAAACCTGAAACAAATAACATAGAACAATGAAAGATCACCAAGCCTTGCAGGAGTCACATTAAAAAAAAAGAAAGATTCTTAATTTTGCTGCTAGTCTAGTTCCTGGAACTCAATGGAAGAACACATGATATGCAGAAAAAAGTGTTGTTCTGTTTAAGTAATAGTGCAAATCCCACTATTTTCTACACAAAGAAAATCAAAATGAACAAAAAATGAGAAGTAACCAGTGACTCAAATGAGGACCTACAGGATCCACTACTGGAAGGATTGCTAGAAGCTGAAGCCCTCGACCTTAACATCAAAAGTCAATTTTGTAAGCAGAGCTCTTGGAAAAGCAATCACCTCCTTTCATGAAGGCTGCTTATTCCGATAAGATTGAACACTATTACAGTGATACCTTGAGTTAAGAGTTTAATTCATTCACTTATTGAGCTCTTAACTCAAATTGTTCTTATCTCAAAGCGATTTTTCCAATAAAATGCTATTAATTCAGCCCCCCAAATCCTTTTTTTGTTTTTTAAATAATATGTACTTTATACATAACAAATAATATTTAAATACACATTCACTTGGAACAATAAAAAAGAAAACTTTAAAATGGTGGAAGCACAAAGCGAAGAAGCTTCATTTTCTTCACACTTGACTCATTCCAGCCTCCCTCCCTTCATGAAGCAAACATATCAAGAATAAAAACCACTCAAAATAATCTAACGCAAAGTTCCTCAAAGCAGACACTAGCTCTTAACTCAAAACATTGCTCCTATGCCAAAGCAAAACCAAGGGGGAGCAACAGCTCTTAACTCAAAATGCTCTTAAAGTTGGGATGCTCTTAAGCAGAGGTTCTATTGTATAGTGAAATGGAGGGAGCAATTATCTAATATGGAATTAGACATTTTCCCCATTATCCTTTGGCAATTAGTAAACCCCAAACACTATGAATTTAAATTACCCAGTGAAGAGGAAAGCAGCTTTGCATAATGCTGGCTACCAGTATACAGATCAACGTTTCAATATTTATAATTTTTAAGCAAAGACAGTCTGACAGTGTTTTTAAGACATTTCAAGTGTTTACTTACAGCACCACCAGTAGCAATGGCCATGTCTTTAAGCTGGTTTTTTCTATTGTCACCAAACCCGGGTGCTTTCACTGCAACAACCTGCAGGCCAACCTTCAGTCTAAAAAAGAAATTTTCACAGGTGTGCACGATGTTGTCGTCAATTCACAAAACCGCAGATAACCAAGAACATATTCTCACTGTTAATTTCTCCTGTATGTATCGACTTTTAAGCTTAAACGCAACAAATCTTTGGGATCATGTAAAGCCTACCTGTTTAATACAAGTGTACTGAGGGCTTCTCCGTCAACATCTTCAGCAATAATAACTAACGGCTTACGGTGATTATTGGCAATTTCAAGAGCTGGTACTATTGACTGAACATTGGAGATCTTCTTTTCACTAATTAACACATAGGCATCTTGGAATTCACATTTCTGTCCTAGAAAGGAAAGCAGGATTCTTCAACTATTTGACAGCGATTTCAATAGCCAGTGATTTTTGGATTATAAAATGCTAATAAGTGCCACTTTTGCCACATATTTCAACAGCTGCAAAATGTCAAATGTATTCCTGCTGCAAAAGACATCCATCAGTCTCCAGCAGAGGCCTATTCCTTTAGCTTATTATTGAATCACTACAATACATGCAAAACTGAAATATGGGAAGATTCACACATTGATCTTGTTGGAAATGACAACCTTCTTCACGCCTTTTCTATAACTGTTTATCTATGATCCTGTTGCTTACTGTTTCCTGTGTGTTCTAGGTATGCAGCTTCCTTTACTCTATGGTTCCTAAGAACCACATGCTCTTTCTCTCTCTCCTTTTGACTATGTGACCTGTTGATAGCTGTTTTGTTATAAGAGAGATGTCTAGGCAGAGATAATTATCTCAGACATATCTAAAATTGGTCTGACAAGTTTTTGTACCTGTGTATGCTGAACACAAGAAGGTTGTGAGTAAACAAAATATGTTAATTTTATCAAAGTCTACTTCATTTTTATCTCTTGAGTGCATAATATAAAACGAGTTGTTTTATGGGAGAGTTTTTGTGTGTGTAGGCACTGAAAAACACTTCTAAAGCTCTGCTGTTTTTATGCACTGGCAAATCTCTTTTCCTAAGAAATCAGAAATAATAGGTTATTCAGTCTAACAACTGAAATCATTGCAATGCGTAATTACATCTGGTTGTATACCATAAGAGAAGATTCTAAAGGGTTTTTGGCTCTTCTCTGAAAGGTCGTGTTTTTCTAAAAGGTTATGCTCTCCAAAAGGTTATAGATGCCATGTTCCAAAAGGTTATGAATGTCATTTTCCAAAAGATCTTGCTAGCTATTGTTTAAAAGGAAAGTTCTATTCTGATATGTCCTTATCACTTAAATTTCTAATAGTTCTAATTCAGTCTCTTTGGAGCCCATTTCCGCAAATGTGCTGAACTTAACACAATTTTGTAGTGCACAAAAACTCCACAAAAAAGGTCAATATTTCATAGAAAGTTGCATACTTTTATGGGTCAGTCACCAGCTATCTGAGAGAGTCCATATTTCTCTTGTTGATCTGATTCAGAATTACCAATCTGAAAGGAATTAAGTCTTTTGCAGCTGAGGCAACCAATTCAAGAAAAGAAAGTCTAAATAATATGATTAAGTGACTATTCCTCATAATTTATGCAATGTAAATATCAGTATTCCTTTGTCTAGCTATATATGTTTAGTGAATGTGCCAAAAGGGACAGAAAACAGAATCTATGCCCATGAACTAATTATGTAAACACTATCAGAGACTGAGTCTTGTATTGGCAGTCATCCCTAGTTCTGACTGAAAAGAGAGAATAATAATCTTATTTTACTTTAGTCAAATCATGAGGACACCAAAGAGAACAGACTACAACACTTTGTTCCAGTTATGTTAACTTACCTTTAGCTGTATTGATGAAATAAGGAGAAATGTAGCCTCTATCAAACTTCATACCTTCAATGATTTCTAGCTCATCATTCAAAGTTTTCCCATCCTATTTAAATAAAACATAAAAGAAAATGACCAAACTGTAATTTCTATTACTACTATATTTTACAGGCATTATATTATTCTAATACCTGTAAAAATGCCATATGATTCTTGCTTTGGATTTTAAAAACAAACAAACAGTATGGCAATGCATTTGTTTTAAGCCAGACATTCTCCTTTGCCATATTTTATATTGAAGAAGTTATTTTACCAAGAATGAGAAAGTTATTTGAATAACTAGTAGATTTAAACACTCTATTCAAACTATTCACTCTTAAATACCCCTGAAGTAATGATTAACAATATTATTTTCTCCCATAAGCCGGTTACTAGGTTTTTCTTAAAAATAGTATTGATACATCCAATAGTGTAACAGGCTTTGCAATACAGACCTTATCTCACTATACATTGTTCCAAGTATCACTCTGCAATATTAACACTTGGTTATCAGATTTTTAAGCCTATGTATCTTAAACTAAAACTTAAAATGGTTCAGGGGATTCAGCAATTTTTATTCTCATATACACACACAGCACACCTCTTACCTTAACTGTTATAACACCCTTTCGTCCAACCTTTTTCATTGCATCAGAGATTATGTTGCCAATTTCCTTATCTCCATTTGCGGATATTGTTGCAACCTGTTAAATAAATAAAAATATAACTTCACTCTCTTCCTGAAGACAGAGGACAGAAAAAGTAACCACAACTATCACAGCACAAATTTTAAATCTGAAATATTGCATTACATGACAGTGTAGACTCAATGCAATTAAGCTGCATTCTTAAACTGAATTATATGGCAGTTCAGATGGAGCCTGAGAAAGAGAAATATCATTCTGCTAGTCCTATTAAACAGCATAACTCTTCTGTGAGAGAAAATAGATGGAAAAGAGAACCAATTTATTTATGAAGAAATGAGTGTTACCTGAGCAATTTCTTCGGGAGTTGTGACTGGTTTGGACAATTTCTTTAATTCATTAATTGCAGCATCTACAGCTAGCATCACTCCTGGGGAATACATGACAACCATGTCAATCAGATGATGATGACATTTATTTACACCTTATCTCCATAAGGAGACACGAAGTGGCTTACGTTAAAAGCATTTCAGTACAATTTAAAATCTAAAAGGTAAAGGTTTTCCCCTGACATTAAGTCCAGTTGTGTCCAACTCTGGGGTGTGGTGCTCATCTCCATTTCTAAGCCGAAGAGCCAGCATTGTCCGTAGACACCTCCAAGGTCATGTGGCCAGAATGACTGCATGGAGCACCGTTACCTTCCTGCCGGAGCCATACCTATTGATCTACTCACATTTCGCATGTTTTCGAACTGCTAGGTTGGCAGAAGCTGGGGCTGATAGCGGAAGCTTACGCCACTCCCCGGATTCGAACCTGCGACCTTTTGGTCAACAAGTTTAGCAGCTTAGTGGTTTAACCCACTGCTCCACCAGGGGCTCCAATTTAAAATCTACTCAGTACTTATATCCAACAATGGCAAATACATAATTGAATATGACTTCAACCCCCAAACCTATTAACCAATATCATCACAGTTACATGATGCATAACCATATTAAACATAAGAAGTTTCAACACATGACTTGACAGTACTAGAGCAATAGTTCTCAATCTGTGGGCCCCTAAGTGTTTTGGCCTACAACTCCCAGAAATGCCAGCTAGCTTACCAGCTGTTAGGTTTTCTGGAAGTTGAAGGCTGAAATATCTGGGGACCCACCAGTTGAGAACGACTGTACTAGAATAGCCTTGTAATGAGGCAATTTTCAGACATTTAAAATAAGCCTTCCATCAGTTCCAACAAGGAAGGATAGCTAATTGCTATGGATAACTGGAAACATAGTCTAAAACCTATGGAGGATGCCACTTTGGGGTGGAAATGCTGCATTTAAATGTTGTGGAGTCGTGCAAATTCCACTGAGAGACTTTATCCAACTCTATTTTTACTGTACAGTCAGACCATTAAAACACAAAGTAAGACAAATTTTATCAAGATTGTTACCTCTCCTAATTTCCACTGGATTTGCTCCTTTACTGATCTTTTCAAATCCTTCCTTTGCAATTGACCGTGCCAATACTGTTGCGGTTGTGGTACCATCTCCAGCCTCTTCATTGGTATTGTTGGCAACATCCTGAACCAGTTTGGCTCCAATGTTTTTGTACTTGTCCTTCAAGTCAATGGCCTTGGCTACTGTCACACCATCTTTTGTCACCTTAGGGCTTCCCCAGCTCTGTTCAATGATTACTGTTCTCCCCTATTAGCACAAAATATGATTATTATTATTTTAAAAAAGGTTTGCACAACTTGTATATAATTTTTACTAATGTTTACTGGTTATTCCACCAACAGCTGACATCTCAGTTAAGAGCTTATAATTGCACTTAACAAGACTCCAAATGTACATCCTGAAAATGATCCATGTTACCCTGTTTTAACAAACCAGAACGAGAGTTTTGCATCCAAAACAGCTCTTTGGTTTTTTCCAATGCTATCATAGCCTTTTGGCAGCTCGCTGCTTTATACTGTGATTCACACAATATATTAACAACATATCAGTGTTGACCAGGACAAGCAGCAGTCAGAATAAAATTAAGTGAATGCTCCTATTATGTAGATGCTCATGGAGCTGCTGGAATAGAGAACACAAACCTAAGTAACCAGCAACCATGATGCCACAGCAATAAATAAGAATACAATGAAGTACTTTGACCAGCTTTGGTGATACAGGGGATAGTGATAACCACACTTATCTGAGAAGTGGGTGCTTATACGATACATACACCAACTGGAATGTCTCTGAAATTCATTCTTGGCTATTGGTGGAACTCTTCCAACAAATGCTTTGCTAGGAAGCTTGCAAAACACATCTCCCTGGCTCCCTGAGTGTCTCTTCTGAATGTGAGGTCATGGAAAACACAGCAGAGGGAGTTCTGGGTACCTGACATTTTTAAAAATGTATTCAAGCAAATCTTTGGACCTCTGCCCAAGAAACCACAAGCAGGGAATAAAACCAAGTAGGAACCTGATGACACTATAGTGAGACAGGAGGTGGAAGTAACTGAAAACTGTGTTTTTAATGAAAAACGTTGAGACTGGGATTGGATTAAGGAAACCTGGAAAAGCAACAACCAAAAAACAGCTACCAAGAGACTTCAAAAACTTAATAGTAAACTTAGACGAGAAATTTTTACATGACCCCCAGGCTATGGGTATATAAAATAAGTATAAAAATCAACCCTTTACCGATAACAAATCAGCATTGCAAGGCTTGCTAAAAAGGCTGAGTTTCCTTTTTATAAAGTACAGCTGAAGCATCATCTAAGCATCATCTGCAATCCACTGTAAGCATTGAATACAAGATTTGTTTAAATACCATAAAAACTCAAGTATAAGCAGAGTTTTTCAGCCCCTTTTTAGGCTGAAAAAGCCCCCCTCAACTTATACTCGAATCAAGGTTATTATTTATTATTTTACTGTCATCATCATCATTATTATTACATTTATTATTTTACTCTATTTTTATAATTATTACATTTATTATTTTCTTCTATTACTTATTGTTACATTTCCATTATTGACTCTATTATTATTATTATTATTACTACATTTATTATTTGGCTATTATTATTGGAAGAATATATAAGCACATTTACATTGAACGTGGTTAGAATAATGGTTTAATCAGAACTGGAAAGTCTAAACTTAAATTACAGTTTTATGTAAATATTCAAAAGCACTTAACCTACTGATGCCTCAATTAATATAATTTTATTGATATCTATTTTTATTTTGAAATGTACCAGTAGCTGCTACATTTCTCAACAGAGGAGACCACCAAAACTTCTGGTTACAGCAGTCATAGAAGATAGCGCACATTCTCCACTGCCTTTATTCTCCATGAAGATATAATAACCCTTTCTGTTGGAAGTTAGAAAGAAACCTATTCCACGTTGTATGGCAGTCCTGGCACTGTAAATCTCCCACACAATACAGTTTGCTCCTGCTTCTTTTCACTCTGAAATCTCATAGAATGTGAGGTTGCCTCATATTTCACTCACCTTGCTACAAACTCATTCACATCAGGCAAGTATGTTAAGTTGCAGTATCTTTACAAGCAAAACTTAAAAATAAGAGTCCAAGGGCATGAATTAAGTGCTTGTAAGCATACTCGATACATCAGGATGTATTAATCACATGTTCAATCCTCCCACCAGGAAAAAAAGCAGACTTTTAATCAATTCCATGAAAATTAACCTCTGTACCTTTGGTCCCATGGTGACAGCCACAGCATCAGCAAGCAGGTCCACGCCTTGCAGCATGAGCGCTCTCGCGTCTGCTCCAAATTTGACATCTTTTGCATAGGCTCTTGTAAGGTGTGGGGCAAGTGCTCTGGACACCGGCCTCACCTGACGAAGCACTGTTGGCAAACGTAGCATTTCTATAAACAAAGAGATAAAAATTACACAGGCTTCAACATGAGCAGAGTACCTAGTGTCCCAAGCCTGGAGGCTAATCTTCAGTGCAGTCTGCAACTATGAACTCCAAGCTTATGTGGCCTTCAATTAATTACACAAAGTATCCAAACTCGTACATCAACTCTTTTCCAGTGTTATTTTGCCACTGAAAGAACCACCAAGCAAACTGCTTGCCTTTAGGAATGCTAATTAATGTATGGCATAGGTCTGTTTGCATTAATGAGCCCATGGGTCTCTTTGAGGTATAAAAACTAAATTGGCCTACAACCTCTTCCCTATGCCCTGAAGTGGCCCCAAAAAGTTGTGTCTGATCATGGCTCCATAAACCTTATCTGGCTGTCAGCAGCACTGCATTCCCAAATAGTATTCCTTCCAAGAACCAAACAGCATGGCTGCTAACAGATCAAAGGAGGCATAATCTGTCCCTTTAGCAGAAATCCCTGCATTGTCAGGCAAATACTTTTTATTCTGCTATGTTTATGACATTCAAACCACTATTGTTGAAAGAGAAGTCTAACTGGTTGAGTTGTTTTTAATTTCTTTTTTTAAATGTTATTTTTTTGAATCTGCATTTTATTCCCACTAGGCTTTTGGGTAGAAAACAAAGACTGAGGCCCTTCAACACAGTTCCATAAAATCCCACATTATCTGTTTGAACTGGATTATATAACAGTGTGGACTCAAATAAGTCAGTTCCAAGCATGTATGGTGAATTATCTGCCTTGATATTCTGGGTTATATGGCTATGTTGAAGGGCCCTGAAATAAGCAGGACTCTTAGGTCCCTTCCACACTGCTATATAATCCAGATTATTAAACCAGATAATCCACATGATATGCTTTCAACAGGGTTATAGGAGTCTAAAAGGTAAAGGTTTCCCTTTGACATTAAGTCTAGTTGAGTCTGATGGTGTTCATCTCAATTTCTAAGCCAAAGAGCCTGCGTTGTCTGTAGTCGGTATGACTGCATGAAGTGCCGTTACCTTCCTACCAGAACGGTACCTATTGATCTACTCACTTTTGAATGTTTTCAAACTGCTGCATTGGCAGAAGCTGGGGCTAACAGTGGGAGCTCATGCCACTCCCTGGATTCGAACCACCAACCTTTTGGTCAGCAAGTTCAGCAGCTCAGCAGTTTAACCCACTGCACCACCAGGGGGCTCCTAAATGAGTCTACACTGCCCTATAATCCAGTTCAAATCTTCAAATCTGGATTTTATATGGCAGTGTAGAAGGGGCCGCAGTTTATAATGGTGCGGGGACTGGATGGCCCATAAGGTCTCTATGATTCTTTGATTCTTCCCCATGGCTCCAAATGGTGACAGTGTCATCGATATATCCGAACCTTGCAGAAGGCTTTTTTGTTGCTGTTTCCAAGGCTTGTTTCTCAAAGTGTTCCATGTAGAAATTTGCTTTCTCTGCCTCACCAAATTACAATTCCTAGGGTCCCATCGCATTGAGCAAGGGTTGAAAAAGTGGGCTCGAACTGTAGATGGACTTCGCATCTCATTCCAACAGTGTCTATTACAGTTGGCGTCCGAGACGGAGCCGTGCATTGAGCTTTTTCACCCCCCAAAAAAACCCTTTTGCACATTTCCTCCTGTGATCTCCTTGCCTTTGGACCAAAGCGGGTGGGGGGAGAGAAGAGAAGCACAACTGACTGAGACTAATCCTAGGAGACCCGGGATGGTGTAGTGAAGTGGTTCTCAACCTGGGGTCCCCAGATGTTTTTGGCCTTCAACTCCCAGAAATCTTGACAGCTGGTAAACTGGCTGGGATTTCTGGGAGTTGTAGGCCAAAAACATCTGGGGACCCACAGGTTGTAGGGAGTTGTAGGCCAAAAACATCTGGGGTAGTGGTTCTGTATTGAACCAAGATTTTGAGGGACAGGGGTTGAAATCTTGGCTCACAAAAATCCACTTGGTGGTATGGTCAGTCTCAGAGGAAGACCAAGGCCATTCATTGCTGAACAAATCTTGCTGAATCCACCAAATAAAGAGCTTATGGTTCACACATGGGCAAACTTCGGCCCTCCAGGTGTTTTGGACTTCATCTCCTACTAGCTGTCTGGAATTGTAGGAGTTGAAGTCCAAAGCGCCTGGAGGGATGAAGTTTTGCCAGGACTGTTATAGTATTTCTGGTATGCACTGCAAAGGATGGAGATAGTCAAAGAATGGAAACAATTAGAGAATGTTTCTGAACAGAAGAGAGGGTTTGTCTGAGTATCATAATAAATTGGTAACAACTCAAAAGGTGCACAAGTACTGAATACCATCAACTTCTTTGGATCTCCCGGTGGCACAGTGGGTTAAACCCCTGTAACGGCAGGACTGAAGACTGACAGGTTGCAGGTTCAAATCCGGGGAGAGGCGGTTGAGCTCCCTCTATCAGCTCCAGCTCCTCATGCGGGGACATGAGAGAAGCCTCCCACAAGGATGAAAAAAAAATCAATTCATCCGGGCGTCCCCTGGGCAACATCCTTGCAGACGGCCGATTCTCTCACACCAGAAGCGACTTGCTGTTTCTCAAGTCGCTCCTGATACGACCAAAAAAAAATCAACTTCTTTCACCCCACCCCACCTTTCATCTCAAACCTGGTTGAGTCTGTATCAAAATCAGAGTAAAGCAAGAGCATGGACTCGGGCAAATGGGTTAACTTGGGTAGAAGATAAAACGAAGCAATGAAGAAAGGAGTCCAACTTGGTGCAATGGAGGCGGTGTGGGTGGGCAGAAGAGGGGAAAGTCCAAGGAGCAAGCCAAGCATATCTTGGGGCCTCCCCCCTCCCCACGTGCGCTTTCCTCGCCATCCGGTCGCGCCGCACAAGGTCAAATGGAAAGAGAGGGAGAGAGGAAGAGAAAGGCCTTGCGCGCCCCCTGGAGGCCGGAGAGCGGCGCTGCAACCACCTTTGCAAACTCCTCCTCTTACATAGCCAGAGGCACCCAAATTTGAAAAGTAACACACAGATCAAGGCTCATCAGAGGCCCCCTTCTACTCTGATCATTTCATGATACCCTTCCAAGGCAACAAACTCCCGCAAAGGGCGTGCAAAGAGAAAGCCCTTCATGACCTCCAGGGTTTCCTATGTGTAATCAACCTTTCTTAGAATCAGAGTTGGAAGATGCATGTAAAGCACTCCTAACAGATGGCCACCTGGCCTCTGTTTAAAAGCCTCCAAGGAAGGAGCTTGCACCACACTTTGGGGTAGAGAGTTCCGCTGCTGAACAGCTCTTACAGTCAGGAAGTTCTTCCTAATGTTCAGGTGTCCTTTCCTGTCATTTAAATCCATCGTTCCTAGTCATCCAGCCTGTGTTTAAAAGCTGCATTAATTAAATAGGCCAGTGGTTCTCAACCTGGGGTCCCCAGGCCTTCGGGTAATCTGGCGGATAGATAAGGGTCAAGCGACAACTAGAATTGATAGATTGGACGTTGAGCACTAGATTGTTTTTAGGGATTGTGATGTATAATGGATTGTTTTAATTACTGTTTATATGTTTTATTTTTTACCTTGTTGTTGTGCCGGCATCGAATTGTGCCTTTTTGTAAGCCGCCCTGAGTCCCCCCTCGGGGGTTGAGAAGGGCGGGGTAGAAGTGCGAGAAATAGTAAATAATAAATAAATCCCAGCCAGTTTACCAGCTATTAGGATTTCTGGGAGTTGAAGGCCAAAACATCTGGGGATCCCAGGTTGAGAACCACTGAAATAGGCATCTCACTGTGGGAGAAAATAACAGATGGGGCTTCTTCAGTCCTTTTATAGAAGTCAATTCTAACCCAAGTCAATTCTGGGATGTGTAGTTTTGTGAGAGATTTTGCCTCCTATGTCACACTCTGGCAAATGAAACACGTGCCTCTTCAATACTTTTAGTTCCCTTCTACACTGCTACATAATTCAGATTATAAAAGCAAATTGTCCACATTATCTGTTTTGGATTATAGGAGTCTGCACTGCCATATAATCCAACTCAGAGCAGATCATCTGGATTTAATATGGCAGTGTTGGGTCCCTTCCACACAGCTGTATACAATCCACAGTGAACTGGATTATCTGGCAGTGTGGAAAGGGCTTTAGAAGCCACGCTGCAGAATCATAACTTCTTTAAACTGCCCCCATTCTGTGAGACATTCAGCCTTTTCATTCCTACTATAAACCCTATAAACTATAAATTCTATAACCATGCAGTCAGAACACTCAAAATGGCATTGAGAGGCCATTATAATATTATTACATCATCCTGGGGATGGGAGTAGTCGCAGGCCCCTTCCACCAGCTGAACAAAATCCCACATTATCTGCTTTGAACTGGAATATGGTTCAGTGTGTGGATTGAGATAACCCAGTTCAAAGTGTGGATTCAGTGTGGATTGAGATATCCCAGTTCAAACCAGATATTGTGGGATTTTCTGCCTTGATATTCTGGGTAATATGGCCCGCAGTCCAACCCTTTATTCCGTTGGCTATACTCTAAAACTCCTAAACAATTAAAACCAACACTCATTTTCATAATACACCTAAAAGGAAACTCAGAGATCCCCCTCCCCCCGCAAAGGTATCAATTCCCTAGTCCCACGCTTTCCCTCCCGCTCAGCCGGACCGTACCACTTTCCTCAGAAGGGGTGACGGCTTAAAAGAACTACGAGACTTTCCCCTTATTTTGCATCCCCTCGGCCTCCGTACTATGTGAGGACTTACTTGCAAGAGCAGCGGGACGATCAAGGGAAGGCAGAGAAGCTGCTGCTGGGCCACGCGCGCACGCAGCTCGCAACCCCAGCGCGCGACTCTCACGTCTCGCGACTGCACCCTCCGGCCCCGCCCCCTTCTCCCCTCTCCCTCCGGCCGCATGGGAGAGGCCCCGGAACCAGCCTAACCGCACACCCTCCCGCCGTGACGTCACTCAGGCGCAACTTTCCTGCGAGCGAGTCTGTGGGCGGGGCCAGCCGAGGCTTGCCTCGCGCGCTGTGTGGTTTATTCAGATTCCGGGGCCGCCGGGTTCGAGAATTTTCTGGTAGGCCCATGCTCCGCCAAAGGTCGCGGGAAGTATTTCGCAACTTCCGGAGGCCATCCCTTCCTTCCCCCTTTGCCCCTTGAGAGAAAAGTATTAGAACTAGGAGGATTGCGAGTGAGTAAAGCAACCCGCCCAAGGAATTGTGTGAAATTGACTAATTATACATCCAAAGGGTGTTTTCTTTCTCGCCCCCCCCCCGTCCCCTCTTTCATAGCCACAGGAAGCAATAGTTCCCCATCCCGGACGGGGTGTGGCGAGCGCATGCGCAGTGTACCACGCTTTCCTTTTTTTTCACGTGCGTTCCTTCTCTGCGGATTGGACGGAGCGCGCGAGCCGTCGCGAGGAGGAAAGAGCAGAAGGGCGCGCGCCATGGTAAGGCAAAGGGAGGAAGGGGGAAAAATGTGGTCCTTCTCTCCATACAGCCCAGAATATCAAAGCAGAAAATCCCACAATATCTGCTTTGAACTGGGTTCAGATAATGTGGGATTTTCTGCCTTGATATTCTGGGATGTAGGGTTGTGTGGAAGGACCCTCTAGGGTTGGATTGGATGGCCTTTGTGGCGCCTCCAACCCCCTCTATGAGTTACACGTGGGGATACTGGAGGAGGGGGTTCTCTTTATCACAGCCACTATGGCCTTCAAAAGAGCCCCCGTTTTCAGAAATTGTGTTTTTTCCTTTTTTCCTGCGAATAGAAGAAGGTTCAAGGACACAACGTGGAGAAAACCGCATGATAGGATTGTCTTGGGTCTGCCATAAATCAGAAACTACTTGAAGGCATAGAAAGGTATGGACCTTGGGAAACTATAATTCCCAGGACCACATAGTATGGAGCTATGATATTTAAAGTGGAGTCCAAGAGCATTCATTCCATAGTGTAAATGCACCAAGAGAAGGATATGGACTTTGGGAAACCATAACTTCCAGGACTGCACAGCATGGAGACATAGCATAATAATCATCATCATCATCATCATCCAGACATATGGAAGGAAGGGAAGGAAAGGACCTATGGCCTTCAAAAGAGCCTGTTTTCAGAAATTGTGTTTTTTATTTTTATTCCTGCAAATAGAAAAAGGTTCAAGGACACAGCATGGAGAAAACCGCATGATAGAATTGTCTTGGGTTTGCCATAAATCAGAAACGACTTGAAGGCACACAACCACAAGAAGATTCAATCAAAGAAGCTGTAGTGCTGAGTTTTCAGGATCTAACCACGGCAATTATAGTTTTGGGTGGTCTCTCATTTATGTGAATCCATGGGCCCTTCCACACAGCCCTCTATCCCAGAATATGAAGGCAGAAAATCCCACAGTATCTGCTTTGAACTGGGTTATCTGAGTTCACATTCAGATAATGTGGGATTTCCTGCCTTCATATTCTGTGATGTAGGACTGTGTGGAAGGACCCTCTGGGGTTGGACTGGATGGCCTTTGTGAATCTCCTACACTAGGGGTCCTCAAACTTTTTAAACAGGGCCAGGTCACAGTCCCTCAAACTGTTGGAGGGCCAGATTATAATTTGAAAGAACTATGAATGAATTCCTATGCACACTGCACATATCTTATTTGTAGTGCAAAAAAAAAAACACTTAAAAACAATACAATAATTAAAATGAGGAACAATGTTAATAAATATAAACTTATTAGGATTTCAATGGGAAATATGGGCCTGCTTTTGGCTGATGAGATAGGATTGTTGTTATTGTTATGTGCTTTCAAGTTGTTTCAGGCTTAGGTTGACCCTGAGCGAGGGCCGGGTAAATTACCTTGGAGGGCCACATCTGGCCCTCGGGCCTTAGTCCTACACCCTCTATGAGTTACACATGGGGATACTGGAGGAGGGGGTTCTCTTATCACTATGGCCTTCAAAAGAAATTGTGCTCATTCTGTGGTTTTCCTGCAAATAGAAGGGTCAAGGACGCAGCATGGAGATGTAAAAACTCCAAGCTAACCCAACAAGGATCTTTCCTGTCAGGATATGTTTGATGGTGAGGACATACTTTTGCAGATGTGTTGTCGAAGGCTTTCATGGTCGGAATTACTGGGTTGCTGTGATTTTTCTGGCCTCTATGGCCATGTTCCAGAAGCATGCTCTCCTGACGTTTTGCCCACATCTATGGCAGGCGTCCTCAGAGGTTGAAGGGTCTGATGGAAACTAGGCAAGTGAGGTTTATATATCTGTGGAATGTCCAGGGTGGGAGAAATAACTCTTACCTGCTTGAGGCAAGTGTGAATGTTGCAATTGGCCACCTTGATTAGCATTGAATGGCCTTGCATTTACGTGTGGGTGAAAGGTCAAGAGAGATTGCTTCTGGAACCTGGACAACTCACACCAACTGACTCTTCCAGATGTTTCATTCAATCCTAGGGTCCTTCCACATAGCCCTATATCCCAGAATATCAAGGCAGGAAATCCCACACATCTGAGTGTGGACTCAGATAACCCAGTTCAAAGTAGATATTGTAGGGTTTTCTGCCTTGATATTCTGGGATATAGGGCTGTGTGGAAGGACCCCTAGAGTTTGGAAAAGACCCCAAAGCTCATCCACTCCAACCTCATTTTGCCAGACAGGAACACACAATCAAAGGCCCCTTCTGCACTGCCATATAATCCAGATTATCAAAGAAGTTAACTCACATTATATGCTTTGAACTGGATAATATGAGGGCCCTTTCTTCCACACAGCCATATAACCCAGAATATCAAGCCAGAAAATCCCACAATACCTGCATTGAACTGGGTTATCTGAGTCCACACTCCCATATATCCTAGTTCAAAGGAGATAACGTGGGGTTTTATTCAGCTGTGTGGAAGGGCCCAGAGTCTACAGTGCCATATAATCCAGTAATCTGCCTTGATACTCTGAGATATATGGCTGTGTGGAAGGGCCCAAGGTCTCCATTTTATATTGCAGTGTAGACAGAGGTCTAGGCATCCCTGACAGATCCGGGGAGAGTGTGGATGAGCTCCCTCTATCAGGTCCAGCTCCCCATTGCAGGGACATGAGAGAAGCCTCCCACAAGAATGGTAAAACATTAAAACATCTGAGCGTCCCCTGGGCAGCGTCCTTGCAGACGGCCAATTCTCTCACACCAGAAGCGACTTGCAGTTTCTCAAGTTACTCCTGACATGACAAAAAAAAAATCCCTGACAGGTGGCCATTTGGCCACTGAATGGCCATCTGTGTTTGCCCTCTGAGATCAGCTGAAACGTGACCTCAGGTACTTACATGTATAAAACAGGTATACAAATACAACATTTACTACTAACAAACTTGCACTTGCAGGGCTTACTAAACAGGCTGATTTTCCTTTTTATGAAACCTTTTCTGCAGTCGGCTGAAAGCACTACACCTGGTTACTAACAGATTTGCATTTAGACTCCTTGATATTCTGGTTTATATGACTGTGTGGAAGGGCCCTCAGAAGACTTTACTTTTGCCCATGTTTTGGCTTTTTACTTTTTTGTGACACCCAGCATTGAGCTAATCGGACCCCATTTGGGGTTAGGATCCACAGTTTAAGAAATCTTGGCCTTGGAGTGTGATTTTATATGCTTTTGTGGTTTTAACCTGGGTTGTTTGAATATGAATGATGTTTAAAACCATTTTAATATTTGTCTATTTTAGTTTGTGTTGAAATGTTTTTAGCTGTGAGCCGCTTTGAGTCTCCGTATGGAAAGAAAGTGGGGTATAAATAAACAAAATAAATGATTAATTAATAAATAGCTGGCCACCAATATTTCCATTACAGTATGTGAAGTATTTCTGAGCAGCCTTGCTTTGCAATCACGTGCCCTCTGGTTGTGGTGTGTTTTTTTAATCAATACTCTTGGCAAAACCCTTTAATTTTGCAATCTGTTTTCTCAAGTGGGGACCTACACATGAGGAAACACAATGTTATGGAAGGCAGGGGTACATGATTAGAGACAAACTTAACTAAGGTTTGAAAATGCCTAAGATCACATGATGGTCAGAACACGTGGATTAATGTTCTGCAGCCGTTCAGTGTGCAGGATCTACTTTTTGCCCCAGTGGTGGTAAAGAAGCATGTAGTGCACATATCTAAATGGATTTGGTGCTTGATGACAGATTGGTGGCAACTACGGTAGTGTTTTAAAAAGAGCATTTTCAGTTTTCCAAGTGTAAAGAGTTTGTTGTGTGCCCTCAAGCCCTTTCCAACTTAAAGGTGGCCCAAGATAAGTTTATGACAGGGGTTTCTGGGGCCCAAGGTCACCCAGTGGGTTTCCATTACTAAAAGGAAAATAATCTTGGTCCCCAAAGCTGAAGTCCCAACATTCAAATCACTACCTCATACTTGTCTGCATTTTTTGGGTACAGTCTTGATTCCAGAGAAGTTTAGCTGACTTTGTCCATAGTAATTGCCGTTTAAATTGCTTATTTGCTTAAGAATGAGAATTCTTAGTAGGGGAACGAGTTTTGAAACTTTTAAATAAAATATGGTTATCTGAGTCCACACTGCCCTATAATCCAGTCCAATGTGGATTTCATCAAGCTGTGTGGAAGGGGCCAACATCACAAAGTTCCATATCTCCCCTATGGACTGGTAGCTAGATATTAGGGAGATATGTTTGTGTAGGATTGATTTTTAGTTTTAACATTGTTTTACAAGATAACTGTAGAGATTGGTTAGCAATTCCCTTTTGTATGATTAATTCTTGTTATTTTAATGGACTGAACTTAACTGTTAACCACAGCATTAAAGGCTTTATAAAAATGCAGAAATTATTTCTTGTCGTGAACAAAATTTGAAAGTCTTCAGTAGGACACTTTGTCCTTC